CTGATGGTGTTACCCGACGCATCAGGGAACAGGAAGGCGCCTAAGAAGTGCCATAGCCACACCCTAGCATACCTCTCGATCTCCTGCTTTGGAGCATTTGGGTGCAGCGGCGCCCTAAAGTTTTCTGTGATCCAGCTCGAATTGACACCGGATGTTTTCCTGAAATATTTTGCAAACATTAAATTAGAGCTGACACCGGATGTTACATGAGAGCTGAGGGAACAAAAACAAACATTAAACTAGACAAAGACATTACGTATCATAAAAGTTATGCACTACACCCTCCATGTAAATAGCAAAATAATTTGCAGAATATGTGCTGGTGTAAAAATGGCAAATGTTTGGAACGTAGAAATTCTTACTTTGCTCTCTTAGCATCCTCATCCTCGGGTGGTCTTTTGCCATAGAACTGCTCCACCAAGTCCATCCAGTGATCATTATCAAGGATCCCAGTCATTGGAAGACCCCCCCAACCGCAGACATAGAATCATCTTCACGTCCTGCATCGTGATAGTCATCTTGCCGCACGAAAGGTGGAAGGTGTGGGTCTCTAGCCTCTACCTGTTGGTTTTTAATTCAATATAAGAAGTTTTTTAATTCAAACAATGAGACAAATCAATGCTTTGTACTGTCGCAAACATGTATCAAATCATACCTATCGACAGCAGCAGTGAGAAGTGTAGGGTCAAGGATCGGTAGCCTAGTGTTGAAGACTCGGACGATCTCAAGGAAGCCGGCACGCTGTATGTACGGCCGGTATCGCTCGTCCCAGCAGTGCGGCTGGTGCATGTGTAGTCTAAGAGGTACCAAGTCCTCCTGAAGCTCTGACAGGCGCTTGGCTCGGTGGTCCTTGTCATAGTGCACCTCAAGAATGGGGTACTACGGATGATGATCCCCCATCCTGGTTCAAATTTCAAATGGATATGTTAGAACAAACATTAAGAGTACTATAATATGATGGAACATTAGTGCATAAAAACAAAGTAAATGTAAAATGAATAAACTATTATGCAAAATTTGAGAATAAACATATATCATAATAAACATAGCTCCAAGGTTCTAATGTACTAACATAGTAGTTTTAAATAGCATAGCAAACAATTAACATTAATATAATAAAATATATGCTATATGCACCTGCTGCCCTTGTCTTCTATGCCTGCTAGCCTTGTGACCAGGTTCTTTGCAAACAGAGCAAAGATTCCTACCATGGGTCTCATTGAAGTCCCCCCTCCATACATGTCTTCGCCGTACCCTCTCATAGCGTCCATGTCCTCCTTGAGTCGCTTCTTCTTTCCTCCTACCCTTGCCTACCTTCATTAGATTTGGATGCAGCACGTAGTCATAACCATGATAAGGTGGCCACTGTGTTGGGTCAAGGTATGGCTCGAAGCTCCTCTCCCAAATACTAACGGTGTTCGAACGGAGATACAAGGGTGACATATATGGTAGATCCTCATAGTTATACCCGTGAACCCTGCAAGCCGTGATCATATGAGAGCAAGGGGCATGCATGATCTGAGAGACGCTGCAACTACACTCTACTTTTTCAAGATCAACTCGGTAGTTTCATCCACCATAACGTTAGCCGCCCAAGCTTGTGCCACCCTTGCCCCGTACACTAAAGATATGGCGATGGGGTCCATACGGCTCGGTGGTGTGCTGCTTGGCTAATTCCTCGGCCTCCTTCAAATGTTCTGCTTCGGCCTTTCCAAAACGCCCATGCTCAGCTATATTCCTCTACACAAGTTTCCACCTCTTGATAAAATATTTGTTGCACTTATGAAAGGAGAACTCAACAATCCCAGACACAGGCAATGATCGAACTCTGGTGAATACACGGTTGAAAGACTCCGAGGAGTTAGTGGTCATGATGCCATACCTGAAACCCCCCTCATCATATGCTAACGCCCACTGAGCCTTCTGTTCCATCTACGCCTCTAACTAGGCATTTCCCACTTCATTTAGCATCTTATCTAGTTCTCTCTTTATCTCCTTGAACTGGTGCTCTGTACGTACACAACATAGAGCCTTTACCTTGTCACATACCTCCTTCTTCCTCTGATGCCACCAGAAATTAGCGGCAAAGTGTCTCATACGCCATCTATGCACTAGAGGCGGGAACCCATCTATATGCTCAGCTGCAGCATTAAGAAGCCCTGGGTGACGGTCTGAGATCAAACATATAGTGCGAGATGGGCCAAGCACTTGTACATGTAGAAGCCGCATGAACCATGACCATGATTCATTGGTCTCTCCCTCTGCCAAAGCAAAATCCATGGGTACTATCTGGTCCTTAGGATCAACAACAGTAGCCATCATCAAGGTGCCCCTATACTTTCCTATCAGGAAAGTGCCATCAACAAGTACAACTGGCCGACAAAACTAGAATGCATGTTCCATTTGCGCAAACGACCAGAACACACGATAGAGGACATGCCTCAACGGGTCCTGAAAATACATCCCTTCGGTGTCCACAAACCATTTCAAGCCAATGTTGTAGTAATGCATTGCACATAAGATGCGGGGCACCCTGTTGTACGCTTCCTCCCAACTACCCCAATGAATCGCCAAGGCAATTTGCTTAGCACGCTAAGCCTTTCTGTACTTCACATCATACTTAACGAATCCATATATGGACTGTTGTAAAGAAGACACCGAAATATCATTATTGTCATCAATGAGGCCCAATATACGACGGGCAAGGTAACATGCAGTGAGCTACTGATGATTTTCCTTTCCCCTATTTGTTAGGCAAGTGTGGGGTTCGGCCACTTTACTTATCCTCCACTTGCCATCACTGTCTCTTTCGTTCATTTAACCCCTAGATACAACCATTTTTGCATATCACGTGGTACCTCAACTCCTGGTCCAAATGAGTGACGTTGTACGGCCTATGGTGATACACGGCATAGTCCTAAAGGAAGAGCTTCATCTCTGATATTGTATTGAATATCATCCTCTTCCTAAGAATTTCTTTCTCATGGTCATACAATGATTTTCTACACATCTGGAGACCGATGTCACAAACTGCCATATCCGTCATGCTGACATCCCTATAGTTTAGAACGCCCCTGAAAGGTATGTTCATCGACCTTAGTTGCTCAAGCTCAGTTGCTGTGTAAGGTGGTGGTGGAACATACTGCTGCGCTTCGCTAATTCTGCCCCATGAATCATAGGGGGTGTCATCTGCTGGCAAATATGTGACTAGTCTACCTTGAGCCTGGATAGCATGCAAAACCTCAGTTGGTACTGGTAATGGCATACCATGAACATGTACTGGCATAGCATGTCTACCTCCCTGGTCATCATCTAAATCGTTTGAATCACTGCTAACTACATCACCGATCCTGTCCTCCTCCTCCTGCTCCTCCTCTTCCAGTTCGAACTCGTTCACATCGAAGTCGTTGCTTATATAGCCTACTTGACTTGAATGAAACTGCTCCTGCGTCAACTGACCGTCCAAATCCATGTTACCCTGAGTTGCTTCCCCTTTGCCCCCCTAATTCTTGCTCATTGCCTCCAACACCGTCAATGGATGACCCATCCAGGGCACCCTGCATCCTGTACCCATTCTCCACCACCATCTCAGCCATGGGCACATTGGAACCTTGGAGCACCCTATTGTAGTGGGACCAGTGAGCAAGGTCGTGCAAGGGCATCAGGACATAGTGTGCCCTAGTCTTCCCAGTTTCAAACCTCTCCTTAAGTGTGAAATCACCGCCAAACTTTGCATTCAAACGGACAAAAAGGTCGTTGAAGCTAGGGTTCATAAAACCATTCCAATTCTTCTTCTATATCCTCAAACATACCATCTTCTCTCCTAACACTTCATTCGTAGAAAACTCTAACACAACAATCCATCTACAAAAATGTTTCAGAAACTTCATTAGGTCATCTAAATCATCGTGCGTACTAACTAACTAACTACATCTATACTAACTAACTATACTAACTAATCTAATATTAATACCTATACCAACAATTCTAACTAACTATACTAACTACACTAAACACACTAATATTAATACATATACTTACTATACTAAGTAACTTTACTAACTATACATATCTAGCTAACTGCAAAACTATACATAACTTATATTTACTAACTTCACTAAATATCTTTGCTAACTAATTGTATAAATCTCTATCCAGTCAAACTAAATTTGAATCCTAACCCTAACAAAAAAATTGACAGAGATGCAGAAGAGCATTACCTCGACAAAGATTATGGGTCACCACAATCCACCAATGGAAAGGAGATGGCCGCCGGCAGCAATGGCCGGCCGGCAACGGCCTACTTCTGGAGGGCGGCGGCAATGGCCGGCCGACCGGCGACAATCCCCCCTTCTGGAGGACGACGATGGGGACGGGCGGCTCGCGACAACGGGAAGATGGAGGGGCGGCGGTGGCAGTAAGGGAGGCAACGAGACAGGGGGAGATGGAGATGGAGTCAGGGAGGACTGGCACACGACAGCGGGAGTGGTGGGCGCGGCGCAGCGGGCGTGGCGGCCGCGGCATGGTGGCGGCACGGCGTGGCGCGTTGGGCGCGGGCGCGCTGGGTGGGGTGTGGAGGCCGCGGCGGGGTGTGGTGGTGGTGCGGCCGCGCTGTGTGGGGCGCGGTGGGCGTGGCTCGGCGTGGTGGCGACGCGGCGGGGCGCGCTGGGCGGGGCGCGGCGTGGTGGTGGCCGAGTGAGACAGAGAGAGAGAGAAAGGGAAGCGAGGCTAGGTACAAGGGGTTGTCGCGCCGTGATGCCTGGCGCGGCAGGCCCGCTACGCCGTGACAGGTGACGCGTCAGACCTGCCACGTCAGCGGTCGCCGCAGCCGTTGACTGCCCCCTGCCGCACCTCCATGCATGGCGCGGCAGAGTGAATTAGTCGTGCCGTGCAAACAGGCACAACCAAAAGTATTAGTTTTGAAAAAAAAATAGTGTCAGTTTTAAAAATAGTTTAAAAAATATGTTAAAAAAATTCGGCCGCCGTCAGGAGTGGACGACATGACCAAGCTGGCGTACCTCCACGAGCCGGGCGTCCTGCACAACCTCTCCTGCCGATACGGCCTTAACGAGATATACGTGAGTAATTTAGGCCCCGTTTGGCAGGGCTTCTCCACCGACTTCAGGAGCCGTTTGGAGCCGTTTTCTACCAAACGGGGTAAAGTAAAATAGCTTCACTTGTGAAGCCTCTAAAAACATGCTCTCACAGTGATTTGGAGTGGGATGGAGCAAAAAAAAGTGGCTTCTCCCGACTCCTCCTCCAGGCCCCTAAAAACATGCTCTCACAGGGAAGCCATTTTGCTAAACGGTTTACCAAAACCTCTTCAGCTCCACCGGTGGAACTGTTCGTGGAGCTGAAGCCAAAAAAAAATGGCTTCACTAGTGAAGTGAAGCCCTGCCAAACGGGGCCTTAATTTTGCCATGCGGGATGGGGATCCTTAGCTTCGTGCTTCTTCGGTCCCAATATAAACATCGTTCTTATCTTCCGAGAAGTTAAATATTTTTAATTTTAACTAAATACATGTAAAAAATTAATATTTATAAAATTATAATACATAGTTAGTATCATTAGATAGATGTTGAATCCATTTTCATAATAAACTTATTTAAAGATACAAATGTTGCTAATATTTTCTATAAATCTAGTTAAATTTAAAAGAGTTTCACCAGTACGATTACACGGCGACACTTGTTTTAGGAATGGAGGTACTACATCCGCCCCCAAAAGAATACAATTTTAGAATAGTGTCGTGTTTTAGTATATCAAGTTTGACCAATTGTAGATAAAAAATTATAAATATTTATAGTATCAAATTAATACTGTTAGATTAATTATGAAATGTATTTTCATAATAAATTGATTTAGAGTCATAAAGGTGAATACTATTCATTAGAAACCTAGTCAAATATGAATCACTTTTCGTGACACGTAAACTATAGTTGTATTGTTTTAGGGACAGATGTAGTAGTATGTACACTTGGTTTTGTCCTTGTCCCGAACTGCTCAAGGCTTCCATTCCGCTACAGCTAACAAACCGTACGCGTGTCGACCTGACAGACGTACACCGGGAACATCTTGATCGCGGTGAACCCTTTCCAGCGGCTGCCTCTCCTGTACGACGTGCACATGATGGAGCAGTACAAGGGAGCCAGCTTTGGGGAGCTCAGCCCGCATCTCTTCGCGATCGCAGACGCCTGCTACAGGTCTGCGTGTTCTGGTCCATAATATCTGTAGATACGATACGGTTCATCGGCTGAAGGCTAGCTGATCGGCGTTCTTCCTTGTGTCAATAATGCAAAAATTTCAGGGCGTTGATCAATGATCAGGGGAGTCAGGCAATCCTGGTGAGTGGCTAGAGTGGTGCCGGCAAGACGGAGACGACCAAGATGCTCATGAGGTATCTCGCATTCATGGGAGGAAGGTCCGGTACCGAGGGACGGACGGTTGAGCAGCAGGTTCTAGAGGTAGGAAAAGCTTGCCATTTCCTCCTTTTTTTCTCTCTCTCTCTCCTTTTTTATCAGAGCGTCCGCACTAACTTCTTTATTTTTGTACTATGCTCATATAGTCTAACCCAGTACTTGAAGCATTTGGTAACGCAAAGACAGTGAAGAACAATAACTCAAGGTGGACTCTTGGATCAGTAATAACTGCAATTGCACTTTAACAAAATATTGTTTGGTTCTTCTTTTACCATATGCTTAAACAGGTCTGCCATTTCAGTCGATTCGGTAAGTTTGTTGAAATCCAGTTCGACAAGTATGGGAAGATATCAGGGGCTGCTGTTCGCACATACCTCCTTGAACGATCACGAGTATGTCAGGTCTCTGATCTTGAGAGGAACTACCATTGCTTTTACATGCTTTGTTCTGCACCCCCTGAGGTAACTCCCAAGCATAGCGCCAGAGCCTAGGTACAATTTCTGGTTTTTGTGTCACTGTGTGGTTACAACCGAAGACCAACTTCTTCATAATGGCCAACCGATTTCAGGATGTAAAAAGGTTTAAGGTGGGAGACCCAAGATCATTCCATTACTTGAACCAAACAAACTGCTATGAAGTGGCCAATGTGGATGATGCAAGAGAGTACATAGAAACTAGAAGTGCTATGGATATTGTTGGCATTGATCAAGAGGAACAGGTACATCATATATTAGAAGAAGATTTGAAATGAAATAGCAAATAGACTGCTGAGCCAAGAACTAATTCATCTTTTTTTTTCACTGCTCAAGGATGCAATCTTCAGAGTAGTAGCGGCAATCCTTCACCTAGATGTCTTGAAGTAGGTGGGAGCTATGGAGAAGCTGCTGTGTGGTGTGGGCTGTGAGAAAGTTGAAGGGCTATTTAGTTCAATAGCTGTGGCTTCAAAAAAAACTGTTGAGCACCCCACATGTCATCCACAGCCCACAGCTCTCAACTCTCTCCCTCTCTCACTGACGAGTGGACCCGCTCGTCATCCTCTTCCCTCTTCCTTCTTCCTTCTTCCTTCTTCCGGTGCGTGCATGGGGAGGAGCCGCCTAGGGTTGTGCCCGGGGAGGAGCCACCGGCCTGGGGGCGCCGGCGACCTAGGCTTGCCAGCCAGGAAGGATGGAGCAGGGACTGCGCGCCGAGGGACCTGGGCTCACCGTCCTCGCACCTGGATTGAAACGCTGGCCACCGAGCATGGAGCAGGGTGCATGCACCGCCGGTCAGGGGCAGCGCTACCGCTGGGATGGGGCAGGGCCCACGTCGCAGGATGGGACAGTGCCTGCGCCGCCAGGAAGAAGCAGGTCCTGCGCTGCCGGGAAGGAACAGGTCCTTGCGTCAGCGGGATGGAACTGCGCCGCCGCAGGGTATGGGGCAGAGGCCCACGCCACCGCCGGGAAGGAGCTCGCGTCGCCATGCAGTCTGTCTCTCGTGAGTAGTCTACGGACGGGAAAGTGGGGAAAACACAAAAAGGTACGCAACATAACCAGCGGCAGGTGGGTAGTTTTTGTGAATAGTTAGAAGCCAAAAGAAGATGAAAGCAGGGGTGATGGTGCTGTGAAATTTGTACTAAGCAAAAGTTGCTTTTGGCTTTTTTTTTGGAAAAGCTTACGCATGTTGGAAAGCCAACCAAAGGGACAAAAATTCTCTAGGACACCGTAGCACAGACAAGCACGACACGACGTCGTTGCACAACACGTGATCCCTGGCCCCACCCATCGTTCCACACCACGCAGGCCAAGAAGCTGCAGCCATCTCGCTGGTAGGCCAGCAACACGCGTCGTCCATCTAAACCGTGTCGCAGCAGGATCTCTGTGCGGCGGTGCTGCATAATTTTTTTTCCCAACCAAAGGGGCCCTTATGTTTCATATATAGCTGAAAACATAATATGAGGTGGCACCGTGGACAAAATGATAGTACCTGTTAGGGACTTTTTCATGGCCAACATTGTGAAAGAAATAGCTGAAATTTGCGTCCCTACTGAAATTTTATTTTGATAACCATGGGTAGCTATAGAAACATGTTTTGTTCAAATAGCTGCAGTTTATATCAATGCCTAACCCCACTATCCAATACCTAACTACTGAAGATTCTTTGACCTTTCATTAACTATAGATGTTGTATTTTTATGATTCGAGTGTATTCCATAATTGCACCGGATAACTTAGGCACACTTCATTATACCACTGCAGGTATGTGTACTAAGTGAAATTTGACGAACAGAGCTGCATATTGTTTCTCTTTTGTATGCCTGAATGATGTCTGTACTCTTATTCTTGTGTACGCACTTGTGCAGCGTTGTTACTTGTTCGAGATTTGTGTCTAGACCAAATAGATCCATCCCCTAACTACTGGCTTTTACTGTCGCGATAGACGTTGTCGACAACATATGTAGTTGATTTAGAATAAGAAACATATTTTTCATCTCATTTACACTTAGGTCAAAATACATGACTGATGACACCTACTTCAAGACATCTAGTTAGGCAATTTTTGTTTGGTGGATTCAGTGTCATGGTATAGGATTGATAGGTTCTTAATTGATTGTTTTTTTTCCTTCACTCATGCACTTAAGTGACAGGTACACTGCGCAAGCTATCTAATAAAAGTTTAGACGTGACAAAGAGACACTATGCCATGTATACATCTCCTCACAAAACATGTCTCTTTTTTTACTGTATTTCATACACTATGGAAGACAGAGAATCAAAGAATTGAATACAGTTGTACGACAAACTTAGCCTTATTACCGAAGTTTTTAACTTCTATCTCTCATTCTTGTAAATGCCATTGGGGTTTTCACAGGATGCTTCTTCTTCTATCTATCCCATAATATTGTCTTGGTTCAATTTCTTTCAATACCTACACAAATTGTGTACCTTTGCTACTTACAAGTAAGTGGTGTTAGTAGGCCTAGATATCGACCTGGCTCGGCTCGGTTTGGTCTGGCTCGGTAGGATAACGAGATGGCTCGAGCTGGCTCGTTATAACTAGCGAGCTAAAAGGCTGGCTCAGCCAAAAGCTAGAGCTAGCTTGTTTGACTCGTGAGATAGTGACAAAAAAATATAAAATGAAGACTACCTTACATTCCAATGAGTCATACAACACATATTCATCCATGATACATGCAGCAGCAAGCAGCATATGCATATGCTCAAAGCGTGGCTCGAGTTGGCTCGTTATACCTAACGAGCTAAAATCTTGGCTCGGCTCAGCTCGTTATCGTAACGAGCTGAGCCGAGCCGAGCCAAGCCAGCCATGAGCCGAGTGAGCTAACGAGCTTCGAGTTTTTCGTCCAGCCTTATACCTATGACCAGCAGTACTATATTTACAATGAAACCGAGATATGTCTCATGCACATTTAGTTCTACATATTGATTCAACTCGGTTACTTTATAATATTCCCTATTTTTAGTGGGAATTTCACTTAATACTTATGAACAATCCTACAGAATCATCGGTGCTCAATTTTCTCAAATTTATATTTGTCATTAAACTTGCACCTTTCAAGTACAGAGTATATTAATCTATTCTATTCTTCAGGAACCTTCGTCTGTACGAACCACTAAAAAGATGGTAACGATGTTTGGCTGACATTAGCGTCACTACTGACATTACCTATGGTTTCTTCACATGTTTTACCTTCCTTTAGTTTTGTGCTAACCTCAAAATGCTAGCTTTGAGGCCACAAAGGACTACAGGAGCCATGATTAAGAATGAAGATTGGAGACCTCAAAATAGATCTGAAGATCTGAACAAGCCTGACAATGTAGGGTCTTGTGATTTTGTTTAACAATTGTGTGCACAATATTATATGGTACCAAGGTTAAGTTTTTTTCTTGTCTAAGACCACGTAATAGTTACCCTTGGAGATTATGTAAGAAACAAACAATAGCGGATGAGATTTTGTTGTCAATCTTTACAATAATATTTATGCATTTATGGTTTTTAGAAAATGAAGCATTATATATGCTTTATTTCATATCAATGCATGAAACAATTCTCTGATGAACTATTGAAATTAGAGATAAGTCAAGGCAGGGCGCCTGATGCTCTAGTCTATAATGATTCCACCTTTAGATAGCTTGGTAGACATGTCCTAGTGGACTATGAATATAGGGGAGATATAATCTATAAATTCAAGCAAGAAAATAGAGGATTCATCCTCCTATTCTCCATGACCTAAGCCTCCACGCACCTCCCCTCTCCCTGGACGATGACTTGCAGCCCCCCTGCTTGCCCTAGGCCCCCTCCCTCTCCCTCTCCCTCTCCCTCTACCTCTCCACCGCCCTAACCCCTCAAATCCATATATGCGCACCACATGAGAATATTTCCACCACATGCCACATATCATTTTCAAAGAACCACGGAGGAAAAGTATTCAAGTATTCAATAGGGAAAAATATTACTGTAGCTGATAAGACAAACCTACTACTAATAAGAATTTATAATCGTCATTGCAACAAATAAAAGGAAAGGCAAATCCAAAGATTAGTACAACCTTATTGTCCCAAACCAACCCATATTTGTGTATACCAAATTTTGAATATAAGAAATATAACCTGAACTCTTTGCAAGATGCAATACCACATATGGAGAATTCCTTAGCTTTTCAACTCCTCCCGTCTGCAGATTGTGTAACCAAGCAAGGTGTGTACGGAAAAGATGAATTTAAGAGTTGTTCATTTCCTAATTCATTCTCATATCCTGCTGGATATATATTGCCTAAGACTTCAACTTTGGAGCTATTCAAGTGATAGGCCAATCCTCGTGTTATTGATTCACTCAAGAAGATAATCTCTTTGCATGGATGAAACCCAAGAATATCCATGTGACCACCATAGCATTCATATTCATCAACAGAACTCCATGTAAATTTCTCATCTTCATAAGCTTGTACGGACCATTCGATTTTCTCTTCTGCTAGTGCTTCCATATTATGATCTCTATTGTGATCATCATAATAGTAATTAATATCCTGCAAGGCCCAAGGTCCTTGGATTTTTGAACCATAATTTGCACATGGTCTTGGATACACAAGCTTATGCTTCAACAACCACTTAGAAAGGTCCCTATCATGGATCAGTACCCACTCCATCTGACAACCTGATTCATCAAGGATCCAAACTTGAAGTCTGCATCTTCCCTTGATTGATGCACAATAAATTCCCTTAGTTGACTTCCCTAGATAAAATTGTGGATAGTGTTCGACTTCAATGCCAGGTGGTGGTTTAATCACGTGATACTTATCACTTGACAAATATATTCTGTAATATGAAATCGTTGTAAAAAAGAGATAAAAACCAAAGGATGAGAAAAGAACCATATAAAAAATAAAACCAAATAAAATGATGATACTTAAAGAATTAGTATGTACCTCATAACATAATCAGTTTGACAATGCACATACAACACTCCTCGCCAGTAAGCAGCATTGCGTTGTTCGCCTGGCCAGTGTCTCATGCCAGACACGGTCCCCATGGAATCACCTTGTCGAGCAAAAGACCTTTCCTCCCATTGTCCAGTTCTAGATGAGAACACATGTAAGATGCATACCGACGGTGGCCACTCAGATTGTTCTATCTCAGGGTATACTGCATCTCTAGAAGTGTCGTAGAGACAACCTCCAGGCTTGTTCACCCAACCAAAACGGGTAACTGAGACCACCTCATAGTCTGTTGACTCGGTCGGATCGTACGCGAGGTACTTGACTTGGAAGGTGCGTTTGATCTCCATGGGAGGGAGTGGGCACGGGGGCACGGGAGCCAGCCATCGGGTGGCCGGATTAAGCACGTAGCAAATCTTGCCGCCGTTGTCGGTGTAGTCGTGGAGCAGCACAAGACCATTGCAGTGGTCGTCTACGTAGCCCCAGGAAAGGCATCCGGCCTCAGGCAGGTAATTGTGCTTACCGGAGATGGAGGCACCGTCCGAGAGGGGTGCGAAGAACTCTGAGATGTAGTAGTTGTGGAAGTTCATGAAGAACCCACCTACCGAGATGGGGAGGAGATCCGCCCGCAGCAGGCGGCGAGTGTCGACGACTGCGAGCCAAGACTTGCACACGCACCTGGACGCGGCGAGGCCCCGCGGCGGGAGGCGGCGGAGCACGTCGGCTAGCACGTCGTCCGGCAGCGGCGCCAGCGGGCCTGTGTTATTCTCTGTCACAGCCTCGCCCTGCTGGTCCCGGCGATCCATTGCTCTCTTGGGATTTGGGATGTTGATCTGCGACGCCGCACTGGGAGCACCCGTTCCCTCGTCAGATCTCTAAATGGACCTTTTGTTGTGTGGAATGAATGTGGGGGGTGGATCGGAAACTCGGAATATCTGATCAGGGCTCATTCATGGACTGAGCTTCTCTAAAGTCACGAGGTAACATTTTTTCTCATCTCATCCGTCCAAAGCAGATTCGAGCGCTGTCAGATCATCTTAGGCAAGGGGCCATCTGTCATACCTGCAAAGGTATTGTTCGTATGCAGTCTTGTGCCAGCGCGCCGCCGCTGCGTACCAGCCGCCCCGGCCATGCCTTGCTACGATGTTGCAATGCCGTCGAGCCCACCGGCCACGCCCTACCATAGTGCGTCTGTGCCGCGTGCTCCCCGTCTCCCCGACGCCGGCCGCTTCGTTTGCGTCGCTGCATGGTGTTCGACGGAATACCACACCTAGACACACCATGTCCTGTGGTGGCGGAAACTGGTGCTGCCCGCGCCGGTCGGCTCTCTGAGTCCGATCCGCACATGGGGGAGTGGAGGTGCGGCACCCCAAGTTGGCGCTAGGCATGGCAGAGGTGCCCATGGGCCACGGGCCACGGCCACCGCGGAAAGTGAAGAAACGGCACCGGTGGGGTGGCGACACTTCTTCCTCTTGCCATGGCAGCCCGAGCTCGTCTCCTCCTCCGGGGCGGCCACGTGCAGCAAGCGAGCGAGACAGCCGGCGAGGCGAGCAAGACGGCAGCGCGGTGCACGAGAGGCCGGCGTGGCGAGTCCTCTGGGGCGGCCATGTGCTGCGCGATGCGCGTGCGAGATGGTTGACGGCGTGTGCGGCTTACGCGCGGGATGGCACCGCGGCGTGTGGGAAGCCGGCACAGCGAGCAATCCAGCCTGTGTCTAATACGTGAAAAAAAACTGATGGAACCATTGGATCGTCATTGGAAGGTAGATGGCAAGAGTAAAGTCACAACCTAACTTACTGAAGGAAACTAGGGCCTTGTTTAGATTGAAACTTTTTTCAACCTGGTGAATAGTACCACTTTCGTCTTATTTGGTAAATATTGTTTAATCGTAAACCAACTGGGCTCAAAAGATTCATCTCGTGATTTCCAACTAAACTGTGTAATTAATTATTTTTTTACTTACATTTAATACTCCATGCAAATGCTAAAATTGATGTGATGGAGAGAGTGAAAAACTTGGAACTTTGATGGGATCTAAACAAGGCCTAGGAAAGTCACGGAATCCACGCCCCACATTAATGTCGTCCAAACCATATGCATATACACCCTCATGGGTGATGAAGAACCTGTCTAGTATAGATTTTAGAGCAATTTCTAAAGTCGTTGAGAGCCCTTCTCTACCACATGCAATTTTTGCTAATTGCTTCTCACCTGAAGCTCCATAAATTGCGCTCTCACAGGGTAGTGGCGTGGCATGGAGCTAAAAAAAGCCGCACCCCCAACTCTCTATGACATAGCATGGACCCTGACCCTTATGCCCCCACGCAGGTGGCCGAGCCAGCGCGGGGCACAACAACGAGAGAGCAGACATCGACCGTGGCTAGAGGCGGCGGCGCTAGTGCGGAGGAAGTAAGCGGCATGGAGGAGGGAGCCAGCGTGGGTGCGGTGCCGCCGGCGGCCCATGGTCTTGCGCTCTCCCTGGTGTGGCCCAAGGCGTGACACGGTGGTGGGATTGGCACACGGCGGGCGGAGGTTGAAAAGGAGATGCAGTTGGCGGTAGTGACAAAATAAGGTAGGAAAGAAAAGATTAAAAAAAAGGTAAGAAAAAGTGTTTTATGGGCATTTCACCCTTTTTTACTACAAGGAGAAGTTGTTTTTACCGAACGGTTCACAAAATAGCTTCAGCTCCATGAGTGAAGCTGCTTCACTAGCTGAAGTTAATTAGAAAAAACTATACCACCGAAGCAGAGCTGTATCAAACGGGTTGGAAGTTATTATCAAGGCTATTAGTCACTTTGTTGCATGATTGCGGACATTTCTAGACCACACACTGAACAAAAGAATGTTTCTTGATGTCTCTAATTTGGCGAAATAGACCACCCTCAGAATTCCAGTCCAGATCATCAGAGTTCAGCCCCTTCTCAAGATTTGTCGCATCAGTCTCAAGCACAATTCTGGTCATTCCCAATTCAGCCACCCTTTGCAAGGCTTGTGACGTGCTCCAAGTTGCCACATCCTCCTTTCAGGAATTGCCCATTGTTATCTCTTGCAACGAATCCCTATCCACATGATCCTTTTTCGTGGCTTGGTAAGATGCATCAATATTAATCTTATAGCAGCCAGGTGGGGGGGCTTCCATTTGTGTAGCTTTTTCGGGATATTTCCTCCCTCTTTCTTCTCCAACTTCTCAAATTCAGTCACATAAAAGGTTATGAGTGAGCAAATTTCCTGAGCTGACTTTCTTTTTTCCGGAGCATTCACTTTGTTCCTAGCTGACCACCATCTCCAAAGCAAAACCCACACTTTCTGTTGTGTAGCCTCACCCATCTTCCAATTTTTCTGAATTGTCTCCTTTCTCAATTTACATTCTGCTAGTCTTCCTGATTTCTTCCAAATTCAGCATTTGCCACACTTCCTTAGCGCCATAGCATTTAAAAAATAGGTGCCCACAATTTTCGTCCATACTCCGACACATTGGACAAATTGTTTCCCTTTTCACCCCTCTTCTAGCAATATTCCTGTGTACTGCCAATCTATTGTGCGCCAAGCGCCAGATAATAAACATCCTGACTTTGTTTGGGAGTGGCAGCTTCCAGATTCTTTTCCAATCAAAAGTTTCCTTCCCTTGGCCATCTATGTTTGAAACCAACACATCTCTTGCTCTTTCGTGCTCTCTCTTCTTAACAGACACCTCATATGCAGATTTTACAGAAAATTCCCCTTTTGGATTGAAGTGCCATGCTGGTCAGTCCTCACCGTTTTCATCTGCAGCCATCGATAAAATTATATTTGCATCCCTCTGGCAAAAGGTGTCCTTCACCAACTCTTCATCCCATGTACCAGTTACCGGGTTTATTAAATTTGCAACTTCTGTGAGGAGTGATGGACCTCTTCGGGTAGCAGGTCGACCGGTAACTCCCAGTGGAATCCATGGGTCCGACCATATATCCAGAGAATTTCCATTTCCTACTCGCCAAATCACCCCTTCCTTTAATAATTGTACCCCTTGCAGAATGCTTCTCCAAGTGTACGAGATTCCGCCCCGGGCTGTACATTTCAATACGCTGCTGTGTTGGGGAGGTATTCAAATCGATATATGCCCACCACATGAGAATATTTCCACGACATGCCACATGTCATTTTCAAAGAACCACATAGGGGAAGTATTCAAATATTCAAACAGGAAACAAGATTACCGTAGCTGATAAGACAAACCTACTACTAATAAGAATTTATAATCGTCATTGCAACAAATAAAAGGAAAGGCAAATCCAAAGATTAATACAACCTTATTGTCCCAAAGCCACCCATATTTGTGTACGAAATTTTGAAAATAAGGAATATAACCTGAACTCTCTACAAGATGCAATACAACATATGGAGATTTTCTCAATAGCTTTTCAACTCCTCTCGTCTGCGGTTTGTGTAAGCCAGCAAGGTGTGTGTGGAAAAGATGATTTTAAGATTTGTTCATTTCCTAATTCATTCGCATATCCTACTGGATATATATTGCCTACGACTTCAACTTTGGAGCTACTCAAGTGATAGGCCAATCCTCGTGTAATTGATTCACTCAAGAAGATAATTTCTTTCCATGGATGAAACCCAAGAATCTCCATGTACCCACCATAGCATCCATATTCATCATAAGAGCTCCATGTAAATTTCTCATCTTCAGAAGCTTGAAGGGACCATTCAATTTTGTCTTCTGTTGGTGCTTCCATATCATGATCACTATTGTAACCATCATAATAGTAATTAATATCCTGCAAGGCCCAATGTTCTTGGATTTTTGCACCATAGCATGGTATTGGATACTCAAGCTTATGCTTCAACAACCACTTAGAAAGGTCCCTATCATGGATCAGTACCCACTTCATCTGACAGCCTGATTCATCAAGGTTCCAAACTTGAACTCTACATCTTCCCTTGATTGATGCACAATAAATTCCCTTAGATGACTTCCCTAGATAAATTTCCGGATAGTCTTCGACTTCAATGCCCGGTGGTGGTTTAATCACGTGATACTTATCACTCGACAAAGATATTCTGTAATATGAAATCATTGTCAGAAAAAGATAAAAACAAAAGGATGAGAAAAACAACCTGTTGGAAAAAAATGACCAAGCTTAATGAGTTAGTATGTACGTACCTCATAACACAATCATTTTGACAATGTACATACAGTGCTCCTCGCCAGTACACAGCATTGCGTTGGTCGCTTAGCCAGTCCCGCCTCATGCCAGGCACGATCCCCATGGAAGAATTACCTTCTCAAGCAAAAGACCTCTCCTCCCACTGTCCAGTTGTCGATGAGAACACATCTAAGATGCATACCGATGGTGGCCACTCGCACTGTTCTATCTCATGGTCATGTGTATCTCCAGGCTTGCACATTCTACCAAAATGGGTAACTGAGACCACCTCGAACTCAAAGTTTGTCGACTTGGTCGGATTATATGCGAGGTACTCGACTTTGAAGGTACCCTTGATCTCCATGGGCGAGGGTGGGCATGGGGGCAAGGGCGCCAGCCATTGAGTTGCCGGATTAAGCACATAACGATTCTTGTCGCCGTTGTCGTCGTAGCTGTCGACCAGCACAAGACCATTGCAATGGCCGTCTATGTAGCCCCAGGAAAGGGAACTGGCCTTAGGCAGGTAGTCCTGCTTGCCGGGGATGGAGGGGACGTCCGAGCGGGGCGTGAAGAACTCCGAGATGTAGAAATCGTGGAAGTTCATGAAGAACCCACTGAACAACAAGGGAAGGAGATCCGCCCACAGCAAGCGGTGGGCGTCGACGATGGCGAGCCAAGACTTGCAAACGCACCTGGACATGGCGAGGCCCGCGGCGGGAGGCGTCGGAGTATGTCCGCTAGCACGTCGTCGGGCAGTAGCGCCAGCAGGCTTGTCTTATTCTCTGTTGTAGCCTCGTCCTGATCCCGGAGATCCATTGCTCTCTTGGAAATTGGGATCTTGATCTGTGACACCATACTGGAAGCAGCAAAGCAATTGAGCCAGATAGTCGGTGGCACGGTCGAGGGTGAGGTCGCCGCGGGCCAGGGCGGTGGAGGAGGAGGCGACGGTTAGGGTTAGCCTTCCATGGTCGGCGGCCATATTAGAAAGGAAGGACCCAACGACGACGACGGCCGACTGGCGGTGGTGGCGGGTTGATGGGCGGCGAAGCGCAATGACATTTCCGCCGCGAAGTGAAGCGATCCGGAGACAACCGGATGGGCGGTGCAGGTTGCGGGGGCGGAGGCAAAGAGTTGCCGACAAATTCCTCGATTAGGATTAGGAAAGGGCGGGATGGTCCAGCAAGGGTGGGTGTTGGGCGGGGAGGTCACCCAAAAAGGTCGGTGGCGCCCGGCAAAGGGTCGACGAGGCGGGGGAGGAAGATGGGTACGGAGGAGAGAGAGGAGGAAGACATGTGCGCCATTGGTGCACAGGCGTCAGGGACGGGGGTCACGGGTGTAGCACATCATTAATGTTGTCCAAACGAGATGCAGATCAACCCTCATGCGTGATGAAGAGCCTATCAGGTATAGATTTTAGAGCAACTTCTTAAAGCTGTTGAGAGCCCTTTCTACCAAACACAATTTTTGCAAACTGTTTCTCACCTAAAGCTCTAGAAATTGCACTCTCATAAGGTAGCTGTGCGGCATGGAGCTGAAAAACGCAGCTCCCCCAACTCCCTTTGACATAGCATGGGTCCGGACCTTTTGCCCCGGCGCATGTGGGCCAGGCCGTGCGGGGCACAACAGCGAGAGAGCGGACGTTGACCGTGGCAAGGACGATGGCATTGGTGTGAAGGAAATAGCCGGCATGGAGGAGGGGGTTGGCGTGGGCGAGGAGGAGGGAGCTAGCGTGGAGGTACGGCGCTGCCACTGGCTCGTGTGGCGGCGCTCTCAGGCACGCCCCAGGCGTGACACAATGGTGGGATTGGCGCCTGACGGCTGGAGGTTGAAGAGGAGATGCGGTTGGACCGTGAGTGACCAAATAAGGTAAGAAAAGAAAAGAAAAATTAAAAAGGTTTAAAAGTGTTTTACGGGCATTTCATCCTTTTTCGACTATGAGGAGAAGTTGTTTTTGTCAAATGGTAAAAAAAAAATAAGTTCAGCTCTACGAGTAAAGGTACGGCACTAGCTGAAGTCAGAAAAACTACACCAAGCAGAGCTATATCAAACTTGTTGGAAGTTATGATGCGTGAAAACTCTGGGCGGGACTACAGCATGTAGCGTTGCGAATGACCAGCCGAGCATCCACCAAGGGCTTGATAGGTTGGGTGAATCCTGGCCACTAGCCAGCCTGGGTCGCTTGATACTGGTTTTAGATGTTTGGTTGGTTGGTGGAAGTCTTGGACCTGGCCAGGGAGATGCAGACTGTGCGCAGGTAAGGTAAGTTGTAGCTAAATCTAATACCCACAAACAAGAAACCAATCATCAGCCTAACCACACAAGCCTGCCTGCATGCAGTGCCTAATGCATAGGGGCCTACCGGGCTAGCCGTGCCTGCATGCAGTGCCTGTGTCCGCGCCGTGGCATGTTTGGACCGGATATTATTGCATAATTAAATTCCTATCTTTTTGAAGAATACTATAGTAATATACATAATTTCACTTCATATCAATGAATGTTTACCTTAGCGACGCACCTAATGTTGCATAATTTCGCTTTATGATGTCATTGTGTGTTGAAGCTCAAAGCTGAGGCTGAATTCAGTTCCAAGCTTTGCGATTGACCAGTCGTTGGGCCCAAACCGGAATATGCATGCGCGTGGCCGATCAGGAGAAGAAAACGCCACCGCTACACCTACACGCACACGGCCTTGAAAACAGACTCTGGTGAACCATGAATATCGACCGATCGTCATGTTTTCTCTGAGCGATCTTGTGCCGATATATACCTGGAATAAATCTTCTTTATACCCTACCAGAAGCACGCCGCCACCTCCCTTCCGATCCGTTCCTCACAATAAATCTCTTTTTCCGGCTCCATCGCTCCATCGGTCAATCCCCACACCCCCAAGCCCCAACATGAACTCCGATCCAAAGCCCGGAGTCACAGATACATTAAGATTGATCTCTCAACCAATAAGTCCAACAGCCTATTAGTTTTTGGTCACGCGCTCTGATCAGGGGCGTCCAACCCTACATTGTTGGTGGGCCCCCATCGCACTGCGCTATATAAAGAGGTGGGGAGCCGGCGGCTCGAGGTACGAGGTCCACCGTAAGCCGCAAGCCCCACGACAAACCCTAGACCGATCTAAGAGGACGTGCAGCCAGCGACGAGAAGCTCCTTCCTCCGAGGGCTCAGATTCAACACCAGCATCTTTACCCTATCTCTCTCGGTGTAGTATTCTAGGTTTAGATATGCATGTGATACTATGAATCTAAGTGTCATCCGCCTAGATCGACGATCCACAGAAATTAACAAGATCAAGATCCAATTCCCAAGAAAGCAATGGATCGGCAGGACCAGGGCGAGGCTACGGCGGAGGACAAGACGGGCCCGCTGGCGCTGCTGCCCGACGACGTGCTAGCGGACGTGCTCCGCCGCCTCCCGCCGCGTGGCCTCGCCGCGTCCAGGTGCGTCTGCAAGGCGTGGCTCGCCGTCGTCGACGCCCGCCGCCTGCTGCGGGCGGATCTCCTCCCCTTGACGCTGGGTGCGTTCTTCATGAATTTCTACAACTACTACATCTCGGAGTTATTCGCACTCCAGCCCGTCTCGGACGGCCCCTCCATCTCCGGCAAGCACGACTACCTGCCTGAGGCCGGATGCCTTTCCTGGGGCTACGTAGACGACCACTGCAATGGTCTTGTGTTGGTGCACAACTACCCCAACAGCGACTGGTATGGGCCTTTACCGGGCCCTGCCGATAGAAACAATTTTCGGCGAATTTGGACAAATATCCGCCGAAATTCTGAACTCTGGTGTCGCTATGTGCTTAATCCGGCCACTCGATGGCTAGCTCGCTTGCCCCCGTGCCCACCCCCGCCCATCGAGATCAAGCGCACCTTCCAATCCGAGTACCTCGCGTACGATCCGGCCGACTCGCCATACTACGAGGTGGTTTCAGTTACCCGTTTCCATTTTGTGCACAAGCCTAGACATTGTTTCTATGAGAGTTCTAGGGATACACTTGACCCTGAGATAGAACAATCTGAGTGGCCACCGTTGGTATGCATCTTAAATGTGTTCTCGTCGAGAACTGGACAGTGGGAGGAAAGGTCTTTTGCTCGAGAAGGTGATTCCATAGGGACAGTGTCTGGCATGAGGTCGGACCATCCAAACGACCAACGCAATGCTGTGTACTGGCGAGGAGCGCTGTATGTACATTGTAAAACTGGGTGTGTTATGAGGTATGGAGTACTATACATGCTAACTCATTAAGCTTCGTCATTTTATTCAGTTCTAATTTTTTTTAACAGGCTGTTTTCTCGTCCTTTGATTTTTATTTTTTTAACAACGATTTCGTATTACAGAATATCCTTGTCGAGTGATAAGTATCACGTGATTAAACCACCACTAGGTATTGAAGTAAAGCGCGGTCCTGAATTTTATCTAGGTAAGTCATCTAAGGGGATTTATTGTGCATCAATCAAGGGATGCAGAGTTCAAGTTTGGAACCTCATTGAATCTGGCTATCAGATGGAGTGGGTACTGAAGCATGATAGGGACATTTCTAAGTGGTTTTCGAAGCATAAGCTTGAGTATTCAAGACCATGTGCGAATTATGGTCGAAAAATCCAAGGACCTTAGGCCTCGCAGGATATTAATTACTATTATAATTGTCGCAATAGAGATCACGATATGGAAGCACCAACAGAAGAGAAAATTGGATGGTCCTCACAAGCGTCTGAAGATGAGAAATTTACATGGAGCTCTGATGATGAATGTGGATCCTGCAGTGGGTACGTGGAGATTCTTGGGTTTCATCCATGCAAAGAGATTATCTTCTTGAGTGAATCAATAACACGAGGATTGGCCTATCACTTGAATAGCTCCAAGGTTGAAGTCTTAGGCAATCTATATCCAGCAGGATATGAGAAAGAATTAGGAAATGAACAGGTCTTGCAATCATCTTTTCCGTACACACCCTGCTGGCTAACACAAACTGCAGACAATCGAGAATAGTTGAAAAGGAAATCTAATCTCCAGTCAATGCTGTGTATTGCACCTTGCACTCAAGTTTAGTTTCTGTTCTTTATATTTTTTTAAGTTTGAATATGGATCGCTTTGCGACAACAATAGGTTGTAATCTTCGGGTCTTCATTTACTTTCATTTTTTGCAAAGATGATGAATTATCGGTAGCTGGCTTTTATTCGTTGCAAAATGATTAAATTATCAGTAGCTGGTTGTCTTATATATATCAGCCACAGTAATCTGTATTTCTTTTTCCAGTTAGAATAAAGACGTTGGGTGGCTTTCCCATTTGAATGTTTCCCCAACGGGTAACTCTTCACTGTATATATGGTGGTGCTAGTGGTAATACTTTTTTCTCGATGATTCTTGATTGTGCTCCCTTGCTAGGGAACGTTGGGCGGATTATTGTGCGATCACGATGGTAATGCTAATTCTTGGGCTTCATTCACTTCACGGTGCCCAATAACTTTTTACCAAAGGCATCAGCGATAGGTTGTCCTTTGTGTTAACATTCTAACCGAGCCCATGGATGAATTAGGTTTCACTGAAGTGAATGGCGCGCGAGGCCGCGAGCAATTCTCCTGCTCCCCCAAGTGTCTGCCTTCCCGTGCTGCTGTCCAGAAATCATGCCGCTATCCTTGCTCACCTCGAGACCACCTAGAGTCGATAGAAAGCGAGGTTGTGAGGAACATGGCGCGCGGCGAGCTCCTTTGGCTTGATCTTCATGTGTTCTGTGGCGTGAGATCGAGATCAGCCCATGCCATCGTTGGGGATAGAGTGGCACCTGAAGAAAATGGGTTTTGCTATGTGCTACACCACCATCGCTATGGACGTTGTTCCAACAGCTGTGTGCAAAGTCAAGATGGCAACGGGGCTATCTCCGACGGATTTGGCCAGAACGTTTTGGTCCCCGTTAGCAGGAAAATCCCCTGCTCCCCGTCCCCGTCCCCTCTCGCGGGGGCAGATTAACCCCGTCCCCGTCCCCGCACGGGTATCACAGCCCCGACAGGGGTCCCTGTCCCCGTAAACACATGACATCCAACATCAATACATCATGAAAAAAAAGAATAATACGGCATGAATTTCACATCTTTTGAAGTAAAATTGACATGAATCAATAGCAACAACACTGCAGGAATCCCGCTACAGCAACAACTCCGCCCTTGGATCCCTTCTTCTCAAGAAGGTCTACACTGCTTTCTTAGATCCGACGACAACTTGATTTCTGCACCGGCCGTCGCTCATGGAGGAAGAGGTGCTTCACGACCTCACCGACCGTCGCGCATGGAGATCGAAGTTCTGTAGGCGCCAGGGGTCGCGAGCAACTATAGAGGAGCGGAGGGTCGCGTGTGGAGAAGGAAGAGGGCCGCGAGCGTGGAGTGGAGAGGGAGGAGGGTCGCATGTCGCGCCTTGCGCCTTCTGGGCGGAGAGTCGGAGGGAGAGAGGGGTCGAGCGGACAACGGAGGGAAGTACCGGCGGCGGCTGAGGATTGACCGAATGTAGGAGTACGGTGTGTGCTAGGGTTTGAGATCCTTTTATATGGTTGCTTTGAGTTGGGCCAGTTCATTTTTATGGGCTTCTTTTAGGCCTAGTTCGAGCATGTACAGGTGACGGAGCCCCGACGGGTGACCGGGGCGGGGACATAGAGAACGCTCCTTCCCGGTTCACCCGATGGGGAATGGATTTTTGCCTGTTAAGCTCCTCGTAAGAAAACAACCCATTTTATCCCCTAATGGATAAAATCCCGTCGGGCATCGAGTATCGGGCCCGTTGCCATCTTGAGTGCAAAGTAAGGAATGATAGAGGTTTGGATTAAAAGAGTGGAAATAAAAAAAAAAATCTTGAATCAATATTTAGATTTGGAGAACTATTAAGGTGGTATGCACACTAGCTAGCTTTATCTCATTGTAATGTTTAGAATTTTTTGAAAATATCTTTTTGCAAATAATTTTACTTATTTGCTAGATTGTATTGATTCTTGCACACCCGTATTGCATTCATCGTCACAAATTTCATATAACTATCGGTTAAGTTTTTGGCTTAAAACTCTCATCGTCTCTCTCGTCTTTTTTTCTCCCACTACTACCATGTGGTTATGCAATTTCTATTAATGCCAAATCATGCTAGCCTTTAGTTTTAGCTCGATTGCTTAGAGCATCTCTAAGAGATGGTCTAAATCGTTTTGTAAAGGTAATTTTAGTTATTATTAGGAAAAATAGCTCTCCCAACAGACTCGACGGCGTGTTCGGCTGATGCACTGCACAGTGATTTCGGATGGTTTCAGATGATTCAATAGTATTATGTGAGAGAGAATAAGGTAAAACAAACTGAAACAAGCCGTAACATGACCAGTCGAACACCCCATCGGTAAATAACTCTCTAAATTTAGTAGCTCTCCATCCCTCCACCTCCGCTCTCTGTACTTGATAGCCTACGTCACTTGGATAGCCTACACCAATCGCCATCCGGCCTGTTGGCGCGCTCAGCGTTTCCTTCCCGTGCCTCGTGCCCGTATTTTTCCGCGAACGAGACCCGTGTCATGCGCCCTCTATTTTTTTTTCTTTCGTCCGTCCTCGGCTTCTTCCACCGCCGGTTTGCAGCGTGCCTCCCGCCGCCGCTTGCTTCAGGGGCGCTTGCTCCAAGGCCACGAGCAGCCTGCCGCGCTTTGCCCCTGAAGCCGTGTGGCCAACAGCAATAGGACGTGTGGCCATCCGCCGCCACGAGCAGGCTGCCGCGCGATGCCCCTCAAGCCGTGTGGCCAACTGCCGCGTGCGCGGTGCTGGGCGATGCCCCTTGCCGTGCGGTGCGGCCGGCTGGACGTGGCTACGCCGCCCCCGTGTGCCTTGGCTAGCTAGCAGGCTTCAAATTGATGAAGGCGACTTCCAGAGTTCCCTGGCGACGTACGAGACGAACGACGAGGCAGCCTGTCCGGGAGACCATATTGATCGTGGATTATTTACTGCTGGCTGATTTGATGTGAGAGAAAAATACTATTTCTGGCTGGAAATTTACAATCGTTTACGACCAAGCGAACAGATGACTCGGGTGACGTGGCAGGTTTTTGAATGGAGTCTTAATTTAGATAGTATGTTGGAGTAGTATAGTTTTTTCAAGTAAGATTCATTTTAGAAAATAACTAAATCACTAAATTTGGATAGTTCATTTTTGCTAATCTCTTGGAGATGCTCTTAAATTCCCAGGATCATTGCTTGGTCGCACACTTGTCATGTTCTATGAGTTCTGTTCATGCCAGTAGATTTTCATGGGCCTTGATCTTGACTTAATTGCATAGAGACAGGGTCAAAGGAAAGGCTCATCAGTCAATAGAACTAGAGACGTCTAGTAGCTGTGTAGCGAGCCTTGGCGCTTGAAAATTGGCCTAATCTTTGGAGTTTCGAAGCTTGATTACAGTACATTAGTATTACAGAGCATAACTCATGTCTTACATGGGATATGTTATGGTAATAATTTAGTGTGATAAACAAAAGAGTAGCTGCACATTTAGTCACGGCACAGAACGTTGCTCATAGTATAGTATACTAATTAATTGAATGAGTATATTGCTCGTGCTAACGCTACAGTAACATCTAGAAAAAATGAATCATAAAACTAAAATAAATCATAAAACTAAAAATAAATGAACCGATGAAAGAAACAAAAATTCACAAACAAATGACACTAACATCGTTGTATATATAGCCGGAATAAGTCTCGTATCGTGTTCTAGGCAACATCATCCACTAACTTTCCAATGCCAACATCTAGAACAACATTAGTATGAATTGATTGCAATTCAAATTTGAATGGAAGCTATCATAGCTAGTTTTCTGTTGCAAACTTGCTTACATTCCAAATCTGGAAGGGTATACATCAAAAGGTTTCCTCATCTCCAGCACCTTGCTCTTCAAACCTTGTTCGTTTCACTGAAATTTGGCTTATGCTGATGCTTATGTCGAAATGCTGTGAGAGAAAAATACTGTTCGTTCGCTGAAAAGTACTACTGAAGTAGTGCAGCAGAATAGATATTTCCACAGGCGTGATTTTACATCTTCAAATGATTTCTTAAGAATGCTCCGTAAGAAATCAGTTATTATCATTGAACTTGAACTAAAGACGTGGCCACCACTGGAGTGAATTCACTGGTTTTTAGAAATTTTCAATAGTAAAAAAATTGCGAGAATACATATATGGAATATGGTTCTATCTTTACCCACATGATTCCGTGCGGCTCAGATAAGTACAATTAAGTAAAAAATAATGCTAAATCTATTTGTCACTCGGGTGAAATTTGTCCGCCGCGCGCTCGATTCCGTGCGGCTCAAATGCACCGCCACCGACGCTTGCCTGCGCGTGGACTCCAGCACTGCAGCCCGAGGCAGGCCCATGCGCACAGCGTAGACACAGCAGCCGCATGCCACCTCGGCCATTGTGCCCGAGGCCCACGCGCATGCATGCCACCTCGGCCATTGTGCCACCGTTAGGCCCTAACGTATGTACATATGTATATACCGTTTCATTTTTTTTTAGTAGGAACAGATTAAATCTTACTGAAATATATTTTACTATTTTTGTTTGGGTGTAAGTTACATGTTTAATTGGTGTAAAATGATTTATT